GAGAGAATTACATAAATGTGACAAATAGACATGAAAAGAGAACATGCTGTTGGAATGAGTGCCTACATATTTACTCACTGCAGAGTGGCCACACACCTTCAATCTGTGAAAAACACACTACCTGCCAAGTACTATAAAGCAGGGTATGCCTGTATTTTTAATGAACACGTATCATGCTTCTTTAGGGACCAAAGAAGTCTTACTGAAAACAGGGTTTTAATTTTCTTTTATAAAAAGTCTAAGTGAAGTTTCAATTTTTTTCAACTCATGCTTTTTAAAAACCTGGGTAATTTCAAGGAGAGAAGAGATGAAGTAGAATATTACTAGTTCTTTTTTTCCTCAAGGAAGAAAGCTCCTATGGCATGAATTCAGATTTATTTAAATAACGTGATGTTATGACTAATATATTGAATGAGAAAACTCATTTTCATTTCTAATTTTTATAGATAAGTACTCTTCTTGAAATTTATCATTGTTTTACTTTGGCTTATAACCTGAAAGATGAAATACTAAAAGTGTCTGTCAAATTTTGCAGTTTTCCTGCTAAGTGCTGTAAAAAAACAGCTCCAAGAGTATAAAACAAATGGCACTTTTATAAGAGCAAGGGAACATTTGACTTTCAAATAAAAAATGCATCTGAATTCACTTACTAGAAAAACATTAAGTTAAATGTTTAAAAATACTGTAGCCTAGAAAGAGAAAAATAGTATTATGTGTACCGATGAGAGTATCATTCACAAGCTCAATTATAAAAGACCTAATGTGGAATTTTGCTAGAGATAAATAGGGTATTAAGGTAAATTATAATTCTTATGAATGCTATGAGAAGTAGTCAGAAACCAACATCTCAATGAAGAGAAGAGGCATCTTATTTTAATTTATTTGGGGGCTATTATACACACACACAAACTCAGACGTACATTTAGAAACTCCTATACTCACATATAATTTTTCTTTGGCATTGCTTTCCTTAGGCTTAGTCAGTTCTCACTACTAAAAAACAGAGGGTCATTCATACATTTTTAGAATTTCATTTACACCACTTAATGTAAACTCAAAAACCTGCTGTTATTTTGAGATTGTTTTTCTGAAATAATCTTGTTTCCGCATCTACATTAGACTTCCATACCCACACTGCCAAAATCTATTAAGTCAAGCAGTCAATACAGCTAAAACACAAAATAAGAAAGAGAAACCTATGTTTGTAAATGTTTCCATTAGAAATGTTCATTTATAAAACGTTCTCATAGACACAATTTTGTCCTGCAACATTAAATTAATTCATTTTATTTATTTGGAAGAAATCTTATAGTTTGATTTACACTTGTGAATATTAAAGACCCACCTTCCCAAAGAAAGTAACTATGGACAACGAGACACAAATAATATTAAGAATCAATAGAAATAGCTTATTCAGCTTCAGATAAATTAATTCTTTTTTTTTTTTTTTTGGGGGGGTTTTTGCTATAGGGCATGTGCGCTCACCAGAAAGACAGAGAGAGATGAGGAGACAGAAAGTGAGAAATCACCCCCTAGAGGGGATGGCCAAGCCGCAATCCCTTCCCCTTTATTCTTCTCTTGGGATCTTGGGCACGCATGCACACACACCCGGTGTGAGTTTAAGCCACTGGGTCTGGCACTTGAACCATGGTCAACTACATGGGAGTCTAGCAACTTAGCCATTATGCTAACTGCTGGTCTCAGCCTCAGATAAATTAATTCTTCAATTTTTACTGAGAAGAGTGTATCTATAAGGGATATATAAAATCATCGATTAAAGTATCTAGTAATAACAGAAGCAATAATAATAAAGCACCAAAATTACTTAGGTATCTATCAAAAATATATTATGTGATATATGTGTATAAAAACATGAAATATATAGACATAAAATACCTCAATTTTCAAATGTTTAAAGAACTTATGCATTATGTTTTCCTATATATTTTTATAAAATCCCCTTTTTTGTAGGAGTGAAAGTGTCCAATGCCCTATAGTTTGTTCTTCTACATAAACTGTATCTTTCTGATAATATTAATTGCTTCACTCTTATCTATAGTTTGTTATTGTTAGTTCTCCTTTAGTAATAAATAGTAACTTATTTTAGTCTTTTCTTCATTGTACCTAATTAGTTAATACAAACAAACCAGCTATATTTAATTTTTAAAGTACCAGTAAAATTGGTTTAAATTACCCAACTGCAATATGTCTATAACATTAACATTTTTAGATTTTTCAAAAATTTTCACATTATATAATATGTCACAGTGAACTTAGTGTCTCTCATGAGAATTCTGACTAACATTCTTTTTAGTAAATAACATTGCGTCAATCTACTCATCATTTTCCAACTTGCCTAATGGCAGTTTTATTTTCTGTGCAATAAATTTACTTTGATAATTCCATCTCATTTAATAGTAATGGCTTTTAAGTATATGAATTTATAGTTAGAATTTATTTTGCTTGAGCTTATTGAAGTATGTTTCTGGGGTTCTACATTTACTTGAAAGTAGATTTTGTAAGTTTACGACATATGCCACAAATCCTAAAGCAATCCCTAATAAAGCAAGACAAAATGTTATAACTAATAAGTCAACAAAAGAAGTAAGACAGAATAAAAAAATAAATAAATCCAAAAGAAGACCAAAAAAAAATATAAGTAAATAAAATGGGAAGAGATGTAAATAAGTAGGAAATAAATAGTAAAATGGTAAATTTAATTCAATTGCATCAATATTCAATATCAAATATTATTTAAATGCTCCAGTTAAAAACCAGAGATACAAGTTACAAGTAAAAGGGTGAAAAAACTATATTGTACTAAATTAGCATTAATTAAAGGAATGTTGACCCACTTTTATTCATACCAGACAAAGTAGATTTCAGAACAGAAAACTATTGTAACCAATATACAACTTCATTGTCTAATGATAAAGGAATTATTTGATCAAAGGGCCATTAAAAGCCTTTAAAATACATGAAGCAAACACTAATATAACAGCAAGGAGAAAGAGACAAGTCTATAATTACAGTGAGAGGTTTCCACATTTCTCTCTAGGTAATCAATAGCACGAATAGAAAATCAGCAAAGTTATAGAGAACCTGAACAACACTATCCAGTAACTTGATCATTTGACACAAAAACTTTATGTATGTTTCAGATTAATATAATGAAATAAAGTGCATTAATATGCAAATGTCTAAGCTATCAAGTAATAGAACATACTAAACTTATTTGTATGTCATCAAATAATATGTAATGTAACATAATATAAATGGAGTCAAAGAAGCATTTCAACAGTTCAGTTGTTTAACCACATTCTTCTTTACACTCTTCCATAAATTGACCTATAGGAAGATTTCATGAGATGTGCTATTTCGTGAATGTTACACATGAAAAATGGACAAAAATATTTATTTGTCAAAATTAATTTCAAGGCTTTGTAATTTACAAAGTTTAAAGACTTGACTTTATTAAACATACACTGTGTACAGAGTGCCTACTGAAAAAGGTGGACAAGAATTAGAACAATTATTTGAAATAAATTATGGCAGATACTTGTCTATGGCTCTTAAAATAAAGTTGAAGACAGTTTTACAAGATGCCCGATACTTGCTCAATCTTAAATGCCATTGATTATAAAGCATGCCATCATTTTATGTTCTTCTAGCAAAGAATAAATGTTCCCAATTACTGTGACATTGTAAGGTATGTCAATTTCTTAAATATTAAAATGAAAAATGTGTGCATGCTCTGAGATGTTAAATGAATGAGCTAAGAAGTTACTTGGTGTTTGTTCTGAAATGTTACAATGTAAACAGGTGTGGCTTTTTAAATCTAAACCTAAAAACATCTCCTCTAAAATAAATTTCATGTGATTGAATTCAAACTCTGTTGACTCACACTGAAATAGGTATCCCAGGTCTTGAGTTTTTGGAGAAATTTATGAATTCTCTGCCTTGAACATTTGAACAAAGACATCCTCAATTAATAAGATAACAGTAAGAGAATAAAGGGCTACATAACATGGGAAAGTCATTGCTAAGTCAAAAATACTTAAAGTGTGTAAAAGAGTTTGTTATATTTTCTTCAAAATCCTTAAGCTAAGAGTGTCTGTTGATGTGTTCATAAAGCTAGAATTCTTTGCACAAAGTCTCTAGGCAATGACTTAAATCAATTTCATTAGTCCAACTGAGGCCACATTTTAACACCTGATCCCAATTAGTTTTTGCTATTACCCTTGAGCACTTCATGCTCCATAGAAATTGGGAATGGTAGATTCTATGAAAAGATGTTCAAATCCAAATGATAAAAACATTTATTAGAAAAACTATTAGAAACTGTATGGTTTAGGCCTGTACAGTATGTGTGTGTATGTATCAACATGCATTCATATAAATATTGCTATAAGATTAAAAAATGAAAAAAGTTAAATAAGTCTCTGAATTAAAGTACATTAAAGAAAATGGAACAAAGAAATATCCCATTTTTAAACTTTGGTGAATTAGTATAATAGTAAAAATGTGTCTATTTCTATAATTCCTACAACATAATCAAGGAAGTCCAAAACGTCTAAACATAATTTAGTTAACTTTGAAATCTTCTTCTCTAAAGAAAGTGTTTTCTAACATTAGAGATTTATTTTAATAATAAAAATACTGTAGCATGTGTTCCAGCAGTAACTATTTGTATGAGCATTATGATACATTATTAAACTACAAAGTTTATAAAATGCCAAGTGAGTCTTATACAACCAGATCCTGAATGATTGATAATCTGGAAAATGGTATCAATAGAACAATTGGTTTTTCATTTTTTTGTTTGTGGGTTACACCATTACACACTGAATAAAAACTTCTTCACAGTGTTATTCTTTAAACCTTTTTATTTCACATACGTTTGGCAGTATATGTACCTAATATTTTGAGGACAGGTTTATAAACTTGGAACCAATTTGATCCTCCACGACTGACCTTGGTAAACCACATGGGTGACTTACCTTGTCTTTCCGTTGCTTCTCATCCTGGTACACAGTCCAGTGCTCTCCATCGTTGCTATACGCTAGTTTATAGGAACCGACGAACTGTACATGACCAAAATCTTTAGCTCCTTGTGTAATGATGCCAGTCACTTTGGTTGGGACAAGAAGATCCACCTAAAAAAAAGAAATGGCATACTTAAAATGCAGCAATGGAGCCACTGTAAAATTTAAAACCTGCT